ACAGCACAGCGCCCCCTAGGGCCAGCACTTAGGCTGACCTAATGCCCCCCCGCCCCCCCCCACACACACACCTGAGAGCAGCATGGGATCTTTCTCCACGGATTTCCGCACATGGTCTGATTCCCCGGTCAGGGAGCTCTCGTCAATCTTCAGGTCGTTCCCCTGGATCAGAACCCCGTCAGCGGGGAGCAGGTCGCCTGGCGAAGGGGAGAAAATGGCCCACATGAGACCTGTGTGTCCCTCTGCCCTGGTGTCGGGCCTCCCTGGATCTGCCCCCCACATGGGACCGGTATAGCCCAGATGGCACCCACATGCCCCACAAGCCCTTCTCAGATCACACCAACATGCCTGTGAGGAACTGGGCCTGTTCTCAATGTGGTGGTTGAATGCTGAGTGGGGAGTGTTGGCCGGGGAAGGTTGCAGGGGGGTTTGGCTGGGGGGCTGCATTGGGGGATGGGAGACGGATACCGTAATGTGAGAACCCAGGAAGCGGCTGGGGCCAGGTGACACCACTGCCCAGGAAACTGGACAAAGGCTGGGGGAGGAGCCGGGGGGAGGCTGGGGGAGAGACGCTGGAGGAAGTTAGGTTTTCAGGAGCTGGCTGGTAATGGAGGGGAGCCCAGATGGGGCTCTGATTTCCTAATGGGGCTGTGGACCTAATTGGGGGGAGTCCTGTTGTCTGTGCCTGCAAGACCTGTCTTGGACTGTATCCCTGTCGTCTAAATAAACCTTCTGCTTTACTGGCTGGCTGAGAGTTGCGGGGAATCGCAGGAAGCCGGGGGTGCAGGGCCTGGTGTCCCCCCACACTCCATGACAATGCCCATCTGCCCCAGCATCGGGCCACCCCAAGATCAGACCCCCTGTGCCCTCGGCCCAGTCATTGTGGATCTTGACCTATGAGTCCCTCTGCCACTGCCCCAGATGGTACCCACGTGCCCCACCACCTCTTCCCATCTAACCCAGCACCGGGCCACTTGGGAACAGAGCCACATGCCAATCTATCCCTTCCCAGATCAGTCCCACGAGCCCCTCTGGATCACCCCCCGAGCCCGGCATCGGGGCGCACTCACCGTATTTGATCTGGGCGATGTCTCCCACCACCAGCTCGGCCACGGGGATCTGGATCTGCTGCCCGTTGCGGACGACGGCGAATTTCTGCTCCTGCTCGATGCGGCTCTGGAGCCCCCGGAACTGCTTCTCCTTGCTCCAGTCGTTGAAGGCCGTGACCAGCACCACACAGATGACGGAGAGCAGGATGGCCGCCCCCTCGATCCAGCCGGCCTCCGACTCGCCCTCGTCCTCCGCCCCCGCGGCCAGATTCCCACAGGCTGCGCCACACCACGGGGCAGGACCAGGGCGGAGCAGAAGGAGAGAGAGAGAATGGGACAGGAAGGAGGAGTTGGGTAGGTGGGCAGACCGCTGGCCGGATGGATGGATGGTTCAGTGGTTGGATGGACGGCTGGATCAGCGGAAGGACAGGTAGGTCAGTGGTTGGATGGATGGATGGATGGATGGGTCAGTGGACTGATGGGTGGATCAGCGGTTGGACGGATGGATCAGCGGATGGACGGATGGATCAGCGGATGGACGGATGGATCAGCGGATGGACGGATGGATGGATCAGTGGTTGGATGGACGGATGCGTCAGTGGATAGACGGGTAGGTCAGTGGACGGATGGATGGATGGGTCAGTGGATGGACAGAGAGATGGATGGGTCAGTGGTTGGATGGACGAATGGATCAGCGGATGGATGGATGGGTCAGTGGATGGATGGACGAATGGATCAGCGGACGGACGGATGGGTCAGTGGTTGGATGGATGGATGGATCAGCGGACGGACGGGTAGGCCAGTGGATGGACGGATGGATGGGTCAGTGGATGGATGTGTGGGTCAGTGGACAGACGGACGGACGGATCAGTGGTTGGATGGACAGATGGATCAGCGGATGAACGGGTGGATGGGTCAATGGTTGGATGGACGGATGGATCAGCAGACGGACAGGTGGGTCAGTAGATGGACGGACGGACGGATGGAGCAGATGGTGAAGCGGTTGGATGAACAGGTCAGCAGCCGGATGGACAAGCGGATCAGCAGCCGGATGGATGGATCAGCAGATGAACGGATGCACTAAGTGATGGAGGAGCAGATGGATAGTTGGATGGGTCAGCAGATGGCCAGCCAGATGGATCAGTGGCCAACCAGATGGATGGAGGAGTAGCAGATGGACCAACGGGTCAGTGGATGGATGGACGGGCGGGTCAGTGGATGGACAGATGGATGGAGGAGAAGCAGTTGGCTGGATGGAGGGATGGATAGAGGAGTAGCAGAAAGACGGATAGATGGGTCAGTGGACAGACGGATGGATCAGTGGATGGATGGACGGACGGACAGATTAGTGACCATATGGATGGATGAATGGGTCAGTGGATGGATGGATGGATGGACGGACGGAGTAGCAGATGGATGGATGGAGGCGTAGCGGATGGACGGACCAGCAGGTGGACAGACAGATGGAGCAGCGGGTGGACGGAGGGAGTAGCAGCAGACAGATGGATGAATGGGTCAGCAGATGGATGGACGGATGGATCAGAGGATGGATGGATGGAGGTGTAGTGGACGGACGGACCAGTGGGTGGACGGACGGACCAGTGGGTGGACAGGTAGGTCAGTGGATGGACGGATGAGGAGTAGCAGATGGACGGATGGATGGGTCAGCGGGTTGATGGACGAACGGACCAGCAGGTGGATGGATGGAGGAGTAGCAGATGGACGGATGGACAGACCAGCAGGTGGATGGGTAGGTCAGTGGATGGACGGATGGAAGGGTACCAGAAGGATGGATGGATGGGTCAGCGGGTGGACGGACAGAGCAGCGGGTGGATGGATGGACAGAGCAGTGGGTGGAAGGCCGGATAGAGCAGTGGGTGGACAAGGGAGTAGCAGCAGACGGATGTATGAATGGGTCAGCAGATAGGTGGACGGACGGATCAGCGGATGGACGGATGGGTCAGCGGGTGGACGGCCGGATGGAGCAGCAGGTGGATGGACGGATGGAGCAGCGGGCGGACGGGTAGGTCAATGGATGGACGGATGGAGGCATACCAGACGGATGGACGGACGGAGCAGTGGGTGGACAAGGGAGTAGCAGCAGACGGACATATGAATGGGTCAGCAGATGGATGGACAGACGGATCAGCGGATGGATGGATAGAGGCGTAGCGGATGGATGGATGGGTCAGCAGGTGGACGGACAGGTCAGTGGATGGACGGATGGAGGCGTACCAGATGGACGGACGGAGCAGCAGGTGGATGGATGGACGGAGCAGCGGGTGGACGGACAGGTCAGTGGATGGACGGATGGAGGCGTACCAGATGGACGGATGGAGCAGCGGGTGGACGGACAGGTCAGTGGATGGATGGATGGAGGCGTACCAGACGGACGGATGGATGGGTCAGCGGGTGGATGGATGGACAGAGCAGCGGGTGGACGGACAGGTCAGTGGATGGATGGATGGAGGCGTACCAGACGGACGGATGGATGGGTCAGCGGGTGGATGGATGGACAGAGCAGCGGGTGGACGGACAGGTCAGTGGATGGATGGATGGAGGCGTACCAGACGGAAGGATGGATGGGTCAGCGGGTGGATGGATGGACGGAGCAGTGGGTGGACGGACAGGTCAGCGGATGGACGGATGGAGGCGTACCAAACGGATGGATGGATGGGTCAGCGGGTGGATGGATGGACGGAGCAGTGGGTGGACGGACAGGTCAGTGGATGGACGGATGGAGGCGTACCAGATGGACGGATGGAGCAGCGGGTGGACGGACAGGTCAGTGGATGGACGGATGGAGGCATACCAGACAGATGGACGGAGCAGCGGGTGGACGGACAGGTCAGTGGATG